TCTGATATTCTAATATTTTGAGATAGGATATTTGGGTTTCTTAAGCTGTAAGCCATAATCAGCGATATTAAAACAATAAAAGGCTTGCTATATTTCAGTTGATTTGTAATGAATCCAGAATGTATGACATTTCATGTTTTTTAATTGCATTGCAGAAAATAAAGAACTTTATCACAATATTCTAATTTTCTGAGACAGTCCTGTAGATAAACAACTTTAAACTTTAGTCCAGTCTCTAATAGTTCGGATCGGATCAAAAACTTGGATCAGGAACTCCCTGATCCCCAGTTCTGAGCGATATTTCCCCCGCATTGACTCGGCCTTTCTGGGCCTTGCAGTTCTTCACAGACGGGATCACCAACAAGCTTCTGGGCTGCTACGTGGGCGCGGTGATGCAGGACGTGGTTCTGGTCCGGGTCTACGGGAATAAGACGGAGCTCCTGGTGGACCGGGAGAACGAGGTGAAGAGTTTCCGCGTGCTGCAGGCCCACCGCTGCGCGCCGAGCCTCTACTGCACCTTCAACAACGGCCTCTGCTACCAGTTCCTGCCCGGAGCCGCGCTGGAGCCCCAGCACATCCGCAGCCAGCCGCTCTGCAGGTACCAGAGAACCGGGTTAGATTAGAACCATTAGACCGGGTCCAGTAGACCTGTTAGGCCGGGTTAGACTGGACCCAGTGGACTCGTTAGACCAGGCCAGACTGGGTTAGACTGGACCCGTTAGACCGGGTCTCAGAGGACAAGTTAAGCCGGGCCAGACTGGGTTAAACTTGGTTAGACTGGACCCTTTAGACCTGACCCAGTGGGCCCGGTCAGAGTGGGTTAAACTAGATCCAGTGGGCCCAGTTGGCCCGTTAGACCGGGTCCGAGTGGGACTGTTAGACCAGGTTAGACTGGACCCGTTAGACTGGGTTACGCTGGACCCAGTGGGCGCGTCAGACTGGGTTAGACCGGGTCCCAGTAGACCGGGTCCCAGTGGACAAGTTAGACCGGGTTAGACCGAACCCAGTGGGCCGGGCCAGATAAGAACCGTTAGACCGGGTCCCAATGGACCTTTCAGGCCGAACAGACCGAGTTAGACTGGACCGGACTGGACCATTGGACACGTTAGACTGGACCCAGTGGGCCGGGCCAGATTAGAACCGTTAGACCGGGTCCCAGAGGACAAGTTAGACTGGGTTAGACCGGGTCCCAGAGGACCCAGTAGGCCCGTTAGACTGGACCCAGTGGACCTGTTAGGCCAGATTAGAACCGTTAGACCGGGCCAGATTAGAACCGCTAGACCGGGCCAGATTAGAACCGCTAGACCGGGTCCCAGAGGACAAGTTAGACCGGGTCCAGGGGGCAA